TTTGTTTATTTGTTTCAGATAGGGTTTGTTTATTTGTTTCAGATAGGGTTTGTTCATTTGTTTCAGATAGGGTTTGTTTATTTGTTTCAGATAGGGTTTGTTTATTTGTTTCAGATAGGGTTTGTTTATTTGTTTCAGATAGGGTTTGTTCATTTGTTTCAGATAGGGTTTGTTTATTTGTTTCAGATAGGGTTTGTTTATTTGTTTCAGATAGGGTTTGTTCATTTGTTTCAGATAGGGTTTATTTATTTGTTTTATATAGGGTTTGTTTTTGTGTTATAGAGAGGGTTTGTTAATTGTTTCAGATATGGATTATTGCTTTCATTTAGGGTTTGTTTATTTCTTTTAGATAGGGTAACTTTAATTTATTTCAGATAAGGTTTGTTTATTTCTTTCAGCTAAGGTTTCTTTTCTTGTTGCAGTTAGGGTTTGTTTATTTCTTTCAAATAGGGTTTCCTTATTTCTTTCAGATATGTTTGTTTGTTAGCTCCAAAAATTATTTACCCGAAAATTGTTTCTGTTGTTTAAGTTCGGGTTGCTTAAGTTATTGTAGCTTCAGTTAGTATTGCTTCAGTTAGTGTTGCTTCAGTTAGTGTTGCTTCAGTTAGTATTGCTTCAGTTAGTGGTGCTTCATTTTAGTGTTGCTTCGGTTAGTGTTGCTTCAGTTATTGTAGCTTCAGTTAGTGTTGCTTCAGTTAGTGTTGCTTCAGTTAGTGGTGCTTTAGTTAGTGGTGCTTCAGTTAGTGTTGCTTTAGTTAGTGTTGCTTCAGATAGTGTTGCTTCAGTTAGTGTTGCTTCAGTTAGTGTTGCTTCAGTTAGTGTTGCTTCAGTTAGTGGTGCTTCAGTTAGTGTTGTTCGAGTTAGTTTTGTTTGAATTAGTGTTGTTTCATATATGATTGTGTCAGATGCGATTGTTTCAGAAATTATTTTTGCAGATAATATTGTTTCAGATATGATTGTTTCAGATATGATTGTTTCAGATAATATTGTTTCAGATATGATTGTTTCAGATATGATTGTTTCAGATAATATTGTTTCAGATAAAGCTCGCTAAACTTGACGTTAGTTGTATCCCATGTCCAAATGTACATCACGTACAATGTTAAAATATCTTGAATGATGAGAATCAAGCCACAATAGTTTGTATGCGTGTATGTGTATGTGTGTGTGTTTCGGCCATAAATAAAAAAAAACCACTTACACAGATTTAGAGAACAGTACTAATTTTCTGTATTTTAAAACGTAATTACCACAAAAACCACACACAGTAAAAGCAATCAGTATACGACCTAAGGTATACGCCACCTACGATGATTTTTTTTTTTGAAAACATCAGTAAATCCAATTTATGTATGCTTTGATTGAAATAGACTAGGCTTTTATAAAATTTGTTACGTCATTCATTTTTATAATTTTTAAGTTAATTATTTTCTAAAACAACAAACACGTTGGGTGGTGAAAAATATTTTAAAATCAAAGTTGATTTTTTTAATCAACATCCCTGACGTAATACTAACAGCACAACAGTTTTATCATTTACACCAAGATGTCTTTAGTTATATTCCAAAATTAATAATGCCGCAAGTTTCAATAAATTAAAATAATTTTTGACAAACATTCAGCTTTTCTAAACTGTTTAGAAATGAAAGTTAGTACATATTTTTAAATGACTATAGATACGTTTCTTCTCACATATCTGTTTAAATATTCAATTAAAATTAAACAATTTTAAAACGTTTCTATTGGTCTTGAATCATTTCGATATTATAAAATTACCGTTCATTTGATCAAGTAACGGGTAACTAGAATTTATATTTAAAAAAAGCATAAATAAACAAAAAACACCTAATTGTAGATTTTATAAGACTAATTGCCTTTTTGTTATTTGCCATTATTGTTTAATTTGAGCATTTTGAATACCTTATTTAATAATTATAAATTTAGTTTTAATTTCATAAATGATTAAACTGACCTAGCATAATTTGTAACTTTGTGACGAATTATTTCCTTTAAAGATTGTCAGCACACTTAATGAATAATAACGTTAGGATTTTGATGAAAAAAAAACTTTTTTCTATTAACAAAAACCATTGCTCAGTGGTATCAAAACAGAAACGAGAAAAAATGTTGGATACAACTCTTTAACATATTTATATGGGATTGTGGACAAAACAAACAAATTATTGGGTACATTTATTCAATATATCTAGGCCTATATGAGATAGTAAGCTAGACAAAAATGTGATTGACATCTTTAATTAAGTGAGCCAGTAGCGTACGCAGGGGGGGAGCAGGGGGAGCGGCCGCTCCCCCTCTGGCCATTTCCAGCAAAGTGGCGCCTTTTTGGAAACTTTTTAAGCGCAAAGTTTTAAACAATGATAATTGTTAAAAAAATATTTTTGGTCGGAACATCCATGTAAATCACAAGATTTCTTTTCATGCAGCAATTAAGCATTATTGTACTAGTCTAGTACTTGTAGTGTCTACGTTTACAACACGTATTAACAGCTGCATCAGTTTGCCATTCTAAAAATAACCATTACGATGCATTGCAATGTTAAAAAACCTCTACGGTAGTACCACTTGGCAAGAGGGGTGTTAAGTTTAAGGCAACTGTATAATGTATTTGCTTACGAATAATTGAATTAGAAAATGTTATACATAAAACTTCACACATAAGTACTTTATATATACAGTTTGAATCGTGTGATTAATTATAAAAAAATTACAATACAGAAACAAATACAACTGATGTGGCATCTCTATTTAAATTTACGTATGAGCAAACTGCGTAGTGGTGGGGGAAATTTTGACAAGTAGTAGTATTCTTACAGTTTGGGCGATAGTGATTACGATTACAAATTATATGAAACAGTTACAACCCCCCCCCCCCTCCCCCATGGACACCTCTGTAAAAAATATTGTCATAATACCACTGCTACTTATTTAAATCTATTTCTGTAAGATAGATTTTTGTGTAATATATATTTGTGTAATATATATTTGTGTAATATATATGTATGTTTAGAACAGTCATCTAAAAACTTACGCTATGTTCACTCTGAGTTGGTTATCTCCACCCCCATACACCTCACCACCATAATTGTGTAGAGCGACATTAATGTCACACCTAGGTATACATCGGGTTGGATAATTGACCTAAAGTGAACGGACAGTGGTGAATGAAGTTGAATCCACCCTCCCCCCAACCCACCCCGAACGGATGTTAAGTACATGTAATGATGTACCAAAGTACCATGCCGCCAGAAAATTAGCTTTTTAAACGTAAAACTCTATGAATATTGTTTTTGCAATTACCAGTAAAAAGGTGTGTGATCAATACATTGATATAACCCATACCTATCACTATGTTAAAAAATGATCTTTAAAGAACACAAAGATGCAGTAGTTAATTAAAATATATGATCTTAACTAAAAGACCGATAGTTAGTTAAATATAGGCTATAGGCTGTTATTCCGAATGTTTTTCTAATCAATCGAAAAGCGTGCTTTTATACCAACTCTGATTTTTAAAACTTTTATTATGCTGTAATACCTTAGCATTTATGATGACGATATATTAAATTCTGATTATAGACAAAAACATTTTGTTAACACGAATAGTGTTAAACAATTTCATTATATTCTAAAGTCATTATTTATTTGTTTTGAGATTTATAATTAAATATGTAGATATGTATATATTTATATTAGGAGGGAGATTATTTCCCCTATTTCACTTGTCTTTTAAATAATTTCACAGGAATTATTATGTAAGACATTTTTTTTACAAGAATTACAAAACGGATTGTGTTACGTTAATTGTTTTTGGCTGTAGTGTATTTATATATTTTTTGTATAGATTGATACCATTTTTGTTTTGTCGGCCTTGTTTTTCTTATTTCTTCAGAGTGCTACTTTCAATTTACTTTACATCATAGCGAAGTAATGACATACATCTAGTATATATATATATATATATATATATATATATATATATATATATATATATATATATATATATATATATATATATATATAATACACGTATATAGAACGTGTTAAAAATTCGGCGCCTTTTTTTGCTCTTTTCGCTCCCCCTACAACGAAAACCTGGATACGCCTCTGAAGTGAGCGTTATGATTTCATGTTTTTATTTTATTTTATTTTTTGAATTAATTAATTAAACTAAAAACGTATTGAAGTTCTCGTTATTAAAACTAAATCCAATTCTCGCGCGATCTGCACGTGAGATGCACGTGCAGTAAACAGCCATTTACGCACGTTGATTGGATAAAAACGATAAGCTATAAATAACTGTCGCGTGCGGCTTATCTAAGCAAGGAAATGATGCAAATATCCGAGAACGACCCACTTCTATCGCAACATTTTACGATATTAAAACATGGTACGGCTAACCCAACAGTCGCCCCCAGTTGAGCAAGTATGACAACAGCAATATCGTCTGCGATCCGATCCATCGATAACTGAGAAATCAGCCCGGCCCAAGTTTTGCGACCATCATAACAGAACCCATGCCTCGACGCCCGTTGGCCTGTCGTCTGCTCCAGCACATCCGCGCGGGGGTCGGGCACCCCCCTATGTTTCCCGCGCGTCCAATCACACCGCGAGGACGGCTGTCAATCACGCGGGAGGACCCGGCACCTCGTGACGTGCGACACGGAAAAAATGGGCGGCGCCAATAAGCCCTATCGAAGACTCGGCACCGAGTGTCAAAAGCATAAAAATATTTTCCTCACCGAGCGCCGAGGTTTGGATAAACTGTGCATTAAAACACGGGCGCTTGGCTTTGTTTGAATGATGTTGCCCTGTTCATAAGCAAGACATCACCTCGTACTGTTCATGATTAGAACCAGGTTGTGTCTAGTAGTATATCTGGATTGTTGTTACATCGAAAACAATTTTTCGAATTTTAAATTTTTTTTTCCAGAATTTTATTTCTAAAAAGGTGAAAATATTCATTCTAAGGTAGGCGAATTTTAAAAATTTATAAACAATGTGCGCGCCATCGCAAGGTGTTATGATTCCATACGGGCTGAAAATTCCATCGCCATATTTTCCGTTCGGACCTAGCGGAAGTCTGTCGCAAGTCCATCTGTCGGCGCTGGACTTCCAGAGAACCCAACTCAACGACTACAACGTTCGCGTCCAGTTGGGGTTGAGGAATTACCAGAACTCGATGGCACTGTCGCCGTTTCAAGCTTACATCACAGACCCCTATTCGCAGGCTTACTTTTATAAACACGACCCCCGGGCTAGGTTTGTACAGGAAGAACCCAAACCTAGCCATAGTTACATAGGTTTGATAGGAATGGCGATACTCAACTCGAAAGACAAGAAATTAGTGCTCAGTGATATTTACCAGTGGATTTTGGATAATTATCCATATTTTAGGACTCGTGGGCCCGGTTGGAGAAACAGTATCCGGCATAATTTATCTTTGAATGATTGTTTTATCAAAGCCGGCAGGAGCGCTAACGGAAAAGGGCATTACTGGGCCGTGCACCCGGCGAATGTGGAAGATTTTGAACGCGGTGATTTCAGGCGACGCCGCGCGCAAAGGAAGGTACGACGTCATATGGGTCTTTCTGTCCCTGATGATGACGATAGCCCGACCCCCTCACCGACCCAGCCCTGGCCTCACCATGATCTGACCCCTGAACATGACCGCAGCCATCTTGATTCTGTCGTGCAACTTGCCGGCGACCACACAATGCGGCCGATAACCGCAAACCCCGAATCAGAACATTTGATACTGTCCCATCATGTCAACAACTACGGCCCTATAGCCGTACACCCGCGTCGGCCGAGTAAAAAACGGCTTTTTGACATGGCGAGTCTTCTCGCTCCAGATGATGATGAAGATGAAATAGATAAAAACAAAGACAGCTTATCCTACCCCCATCGGCCGTCGGTCCACCAAATCCATGGGTTCATCCCCCACCCTATTGCATCAATGTCACCACAAAACATCAAAACCGAACGTAAATCCAGCGCTGACAACTCTGAAGACTGCAGTGGTCATTTGTCCAGTCTCGACCACAACGGCGACGCCAACAGCTGCAGCGGGAAGGACATGTCCTACGACAGCGACGACGACATGGACAACGACGGCGAGATTCACGTGACGTCAGTGGAGAACTCGCCCTCACACGATTTAGATGGCGACTGTGATATCGAACGAGATGACGACCACGGTGATTACACTAATCAAAAAGATGATTGTCTCAACAACCGGGGCGTCACGGAAAGTCGACATTTCGACACAAGAGCGACATCATCTAGTCCATATACGACAAAAACAGACAATGCTTTAGATTTAACATCATCTCTACAACAAGCATCTTGTAATGACCCTAAAGAACAAAATGACTCAAAAAATGACTCGATATTCAAAAATTCTAGTCATAATCTCGCCGGAAATGACTCTGATTCAAAGACACGGTCGGAGAACTTGCACGGTAACAAAGATGGCGTCGGCTTTGTTAAAGGTCAAGGCCATGCGTTAAATCACAAAGACGAGGGTGACCGTGAGGTGAGCAGTGATACGATGACCGCTCGTGACGTGTACAGGTACAGCGAGGCGGACCTGGTCCAGCATAGACAGCTCCGGGAGATGGAGACCCCGGGGTCATGTGACTCAGGGAAAGACTTCATCAGCTCGCTGTCCGCTGGCAGGCGTGACCGGACAGTCTCAGACAGTCTGCATTTTTTCCGGCCTGATTTACCGGACCCCAGAAGGTTGGGGCAGCGCGGGTTCGAACCCGGTTACAACTTACCTGAAGGCGGAAGTCTGCTGGAGCTGGACCAGCGGGGTCAGGTTGACGTCAGGACCGGACCCCAAGACGGTCCCAACCCCATGCCCGACCCTGCCCGAATGACCGGGGACGCCCTGAGGTGGACGGAGCTCGGCAAGTCCTCCACCCCCCGGGACAGATTGAGCGCGTTCAGCACGCTGGGGGTCAGGGGTCATATGTACTCACCTTACATGAGGAACTTCAGCCTAGCACAGCACCGGCTCCTGCCCTCGGTCGTCTCCATGAGGGGCGGGAACCCACCCCCATTGCTGTCCACAACCCCCCAGTCGACGCCCCTGCCCATGATGAAAGGGATGGATGGATTTATACCCACCCCCGCTAATAACAGTACCATGGTCGGCGCCACTAAAGGGAGGAGCGGACCCAGAGAATGAGACGACACATACAACTGTAAGTAATCAAAGTCTAGAGTCACTCACATCTTTGTTTACATTTCCCCCATCAATTTCAGTACTAGATTTAATCATTAGAAAATAAAAATAAACGTTTTAATTTATCCAAACATTTAAATTTAAACTAGAGAAAATACATTTTAAATTATCCAAATTATTAATGAAACATAAATTCTAATAATTAAATTTCTTTGATTTAAAAATTTAAAGAAATTTACAGAAAGTTTAATCCCCTTTTAAAACAATTAGCCGTTTGTACCTTTTATATTAATATTATTAATTAATTACTATTAAATAATAACAAAATGTAGTTAGATAAAGAATATAAAAATAGTGAGTTTATCCTGTTTAACGATTAAGAAATAATTATAATTAGTGTGGGAATTCTACAACTGACACAGACAATAAAACACCTGATTAATGTAGAAGAAAACATTAAAAACTAACACATACTTATTTGAAAATTAATATTTTATTTAATTTTTATTCCAAAACTGGAATTAAAAATAATATACAAATATTCACTATTTTCTTTGTCTTTGAAAAGCCATAAATAATTTATCAACCATTAAAATTTTGAATATTATGTCTTTCAAATTAATTTCCTATTAAATAAAAAATAATTAGATTTACATAAAAATGAAACAAAACAATAATCAAATACCTCAAATAAAAATATAACATACTGTATAGTCAAGTTACCAAAATAAAACAGTACAAAATAAATCTAACTTGAAACATTTCAGTCTGCTTGGTTGAGCGATTGCCGTATACAAACATTTATCTTTAATCTGTTTGTAAGTTTGTAGTTTTATTTTTAGTCCATTTTTGAAAGTACAATTTATTTTAAAGTCACCACCAACGTTATATTATTTGAATATTCACAGATTCAACCTAATTATCACACACATTGCGCGTTATAAACAAATTAAAAACAATATTATTTAGTGTAAACTTATCGAAAAATGTAGAAAAAAATTACAAACATTTACAAACAATTTTAGACGGTAACAGATAGTGGACATTTTCTAGCATGTAGTTAATACTAAAGTAAAGTCTTGCTACTGTATACCAACTACCAATACATACATTTACTATAATTAAATTTTTTGTTAAAACTATTGCTAGTAGGCCCTATAAAACAACTATCAATACATACATTTACATTTAATATAATTAAAACTAAAGTTAAAACTGTTGCTAATATATACTATCTATCAACACACAAACATACTTAATAAATGGTCAATTATTATAAAACCTCTCTTATAATTATTTGATATTCATATTATTCAACTACAATAAACACAAAGTTTATTATCAAGCTTAAAAAAACACCGACATGAAAGCGATGGCTCAAATAAAATATAAATGTAGTTTAAAACATAAAAAAAGAAATATCCGTATCCAATACTAATTAAATACTGATGACAATTAAAAACTCCGATGTCATTAACATAAAATTCATCAGCTGTTAACTACGTTTAACTCCGTCCGTCATTGGAGTGACATTAAATTTAGATGCTATTCACGAGCACTGCCTGCAGTAATGAAGCATCCTCACCAACAATTCCCAAGGCACATTGTGTTAGTTATTTATTCAAGTAATGTGCATCTTCTGCATCGGTTTTTTAAGGATAGAGAATAAATAATAAACATGTATGTTTAGAATGAAAATAGATTAAAATGGTATTTAGAAAACATTCTTGACTTAAATTATTATGTGCTGTTTGTTACTTGAATAATAAACAACTAAAATAGAAATTTAGAAAAATTAGAAAATAGTATTTAAAAACAATGTTAGTTTTGTTTTTAAATGAATGTTTGTTTATTGCTTGTGAAATAAATAATAAAAATAGATGTCCAGGACGAAAGTAGATTAAGATGGTATTTAATAAAAATGTTGTTCACTGAATTTAGATGTTTCAAATGAAATGAAAAATATAAAAGGTAGAAGTAAAATAGGCCCTATATAAAATATCTAGAAAAATGGAAAGTAAAAATATTAAAGTATTAAGACAAATATAGAGAAAATTGACAAGGAACATGTACAAAATAAAATTAAATAAAACTGAGATTATATTGACAAAAGTAGAAACGGGTAATAGGATAATCGTTAGAAAAAAAGAAAAAAAAAACACAACAGCATACTATTTAGAAAATAATGAGTAATATTTATGAGTAATTAATGAACGGATAGTACGTAAATAGATAATAAAAAATTATATATTTTCCTGTGAATATTTTATCACTGCTAAGTTATTTTAACAGTGTAACTAATTTGCTGTGGTCCCAATTGTCTTTTGTTTAAAAATTCTAATACAATTCAATAGTGTTAAATAACAAATGTATTAAAATATTTTAAAAATTTCTTTGATGCCAACTCTGTCAAAAAGAAACAGATTAAACCCACTAATAATTTAATTACAAGTCTACATTGTCATGTGACTTTATTATGTCGTGGTAAAAATGTCAGTAACTTTTGGAACATGAATCCCACGAACAAAAAAAGTCTTGCGAATCCTTGTAAAAACATCTTCATGTGCAGTCGCTAAAATATACCCGACAGAGTCTAAAGTATACTGAAGCATTACAAACATCTATTCACTAATATACACAAATAATTACCGCTAATTGTAGATGTATTCATTAACTAACAAGGGGGAAAATCAAAACCTGACAGCCCTGCTACGCACCTATACCAGCACCCCCATCCACCCCCTCCCCCATGTAATACGTTGTTGTCGGGTTGAAATATTTTTAAAAAATCAACCAGGATTTAGGTCGCGCAGGTTTCCGAAACAAACCTGTTTAGTGAATAATATTCAGAATGCGTTTGTATTTGTTGTATGGGGTAGGAGACCATCTTTCTAAATGACACGACGGTTGATAGCCCGACTCTCAATAGGGTTTACACTTTGTATTGAGCTCTACCCCCGGGGACTCTGTAGACTCGATTGGACCCTCGACACGATGGTTTACATACTAGGTCCCCCACACTGGCTGATCTTAGGGGGGCGATTAGTCACGCTTGAGAGACCTGGGACTGTAGGTACAAGTGACAGCTCTTATTTGAGAGAAGGGGCGAGGGGGAGGGAGGGAGGTTCGATTATGTTGGAGACTTGTAACAGCATAATACAGAGTTAGGATACCACAAGACGGAGGGTACTTGCCCCGCTCTCTCGTGTAGGTGGTAAGGAGGTGGGGCGGCTCGTTTTAATTCGGCGACAATAGAGGAAAAAAATGGTTGATTGGTAAGATGCTGTAGGTAAGTGTAGGGGCGGGGTGTAAGGACCAGGACACCCAGTAGGACAACCCAGTAGGGCTGGCACGAAACTAGAGTTAAGGATATTTTAGTATAGTTCAATCCTCGTATTTAGAGTGATTTTTTTTTGGTGCATATTAAAAGTTGATTTAAAATAGTTCTTTCCTCATATTTAGTTGTTTTTTTTTTGTTTTTTTTTGGTGCATATGAAAAGTCTATTTAAATAGTTCTGTCTTTATATATTTAGTTATTGTGTTGCGTTTTGAAAAATGTATATCAAAATATTTGTTTTCATATTTTGGAGCTATTATGTGTGCATATCACGACTACATATATACTGTCCGAAGATTAGCAAGCGTCTTGACCATCGAATGCGTTAATCTAACCTTTGAAGTAAAAATGTCAGAGGTCAGGCATATAATGACCGATCCACATAACACCATTTCCACAATTTTAAAACATCAACGGTAAATCATAAATAATCTTTAATTAAGCGACTCTCTCGAGAAAAAAAAGAGTCTTATAAACATACTTGATATCTTACAATTCTGGAATAAAGCAATAGTCTAACCATCTTTGAAATTACACAGTTCTCAAATCAAGCAGTATCATGTACTTCAAAGTAACAATCGTTCCGTAAAATACAAACTGTTTAAAATGCAGTAAATTAAAGGAAACATGGTATTTATCCTTTAGGATTACCTAACATAAAACTCGACATCTAATTCAGCTTTTCTTGCATACAACTGAAAAGTCAAAAAATAATCTAGATTTAAATATATACGCAACAACATCATTACATTAACTGTTGGTTGAAATAATGAGCTTATGTCAATTAAACAGCTATAGATAATTGTATTTGCGCCCAGTAGAAGGGACCATATCATCGCTGTCTCAAGTTCCTCAAACCTAGTCTCTACCGTGCTTGGAGAGATTGATATCACAGAAAATACGCGGCGCTAGCTGATAGATCCGCGCCCATATTTTTACCGGAGCGTCATAAAAATTGCTCATTAGCAATTTCTTTGTTGTACTCGTGACGTCATTTGCCTCGTGCAAGGAAAGAATAAAACAACAAAAATTAAAATTGTCATGGCGACCAATGTTTGGATAACCGTTGGAAAATAAAACGGAGAAATTAAATTGTAAATTAAATAAAATTTAAATAATAAAAGAAAATTTTTAACACAAAACAACTTCAGATTTACAGACTAAATTTTTTTTTTATTTGAAAAAAGTAGGTTATATTTTTTTTTTAAATAAGACAACAAAGTGCTAAAAATTAATTTAAAATACTAATTAAATTAAAATCAATTAGTTTTGATATGTTCCATTGTATTGAACTTGACGCGAAGCTGTATGTAGGCCGATAATATTTGGTTAAATAATTTTTCTGAAGGTGTCCCACATAATCTTTTAAACTAATCCCATTTGTTTAATTTACACAACCCGAATAGCAATAACAAACGTACTAATTGTAGTTAGTTAAAAAAGTAATATTAATTTAAGGTGTACGTTTTTATTTTAAAATTTATAAAATTAATGAATGTTTTCATTGATGATTCTGGAAATTTTAATGTTATAATAATTTAAACGGTTTTATTTTTGTAACCGTTTAGTATTTTATTTATAAACAAACACCCATTTTACATGTTTAGATAACTCACTTTTCTAATGTAAAGACCAGCACTTTGAAAAAAACATGGTTTGACATCTTGGCCTTACTCACGAAG